CGACCGTTCTAGTCGGCAAATTTCAAATGTCCGCTAGTGATGTGGCATTACAATATTTGTCTATATCTTGGCTACTTTAATATTATTTTTGTTAAATATTTGCGTGTTTTAGCTGGCATCAACGGCTCGACCATTGAAGGGAGGCCAATATTTAAACGAGACTTAATTTTCTAATTATGAGTGGTTGTTTCGTGAGCAATAAAATAATTTAAAAATAATTTTTAATGATACAATAGCGACGATTATTATTTAAAGAAAAAAAATTTGTTAGGCTAAACATTGATGAAAATTCAATGCAAAGTTGGTTAATAGCGATATACTAATAAACTAATTACATGAGATATACTAATATCCTAATATACTATACTAATAATGTATTTTTCTCCTTCTTTTTGGTTATCCGATTTTTCAGTTATCCAACCAACCTGAGTCCCCAATTGAGTCGGATAATCAATGCTCTACTGTATATAGAAACATGTCAGATAAGTTTAGTTTAAAATTTTTAATGACAGTAAATGTTAAAAAGTTAAGTTCCTTATTAAACAAAAACTATATCATCACACATAACAATTGTTTTACATCGCTTTAATATATTAAAGCGATGTAAAACAATTGCATTAAAGTTAAATTGACACAATTCATCAAACCAGGAGAATATTATCAGCAATAATAAAAACAACTCTACATGGTACTATGGCTTTGCAATTTACAGACAGATCTGTTATGACACATTTTATACCAGTGTGAGAGATTCAAGTTCATAACTTATGAATATCACCATCCAGATGTTCATATTCCAGCATAAAATAATCCAAAATATAAAATTTGAATACCATCCTATTTTATAACAAGATTGCAATAGCAGAAAAGATGTTTCATTGAATGTCAAGATACTATTCAGTGAAGCAATCAACAAGCAAAGACCTATATATGTTCTTTACAATATTCTGAATACAGCATCTAATCATCAGCAAAATAAAAATATATAACTTTGCAATTCCAACATTAGAGCAAGTTCCTCATTAACTTATTATAATAGGTTAATGAGAAATTTGCTGGAAAACTCTTTGATGGTAGTTCTGATGTTACAGAAATCATATTTAGAGACAAATGAAAAGTGTACCATACTTCTGGAAATACAAAATTCAGGAACAGAATCACAGATACAGTCAACCCCCCATAACGTGGGTTCCTATAACGGAGATTCCTACAACGTAGCGAAAAAATTGCGACAGTATTCATATAAGGATGCTAAAAAGGACTTGTAAAACGTCGCCGCCGACTTGTGTCGTGACAGGATTGGTCAAATCTGGACTAATAGTGGTCGAGCAGCTGAACTACTTTCCGCCGTCCAGCACCATGCTATGGAGAGTTTAGGCGGGTAAATTGAGTTTACTATCATCTGTACAGTATTATATATAAATTAGGTACTGTATATATAATTATATATTAACTTAATTTATTGTAACTTTATTATAATTATATATATACTTTCCAGCGTCCAGCACCATGCTATGGAGAGTTTAGGTGAGTAAGTTGAGTTTACTATCGTCTGTACAGCATGTAAATTAGTACTGTAAGTCTAATACAGCACTAATTGTATACATTTCTTGTGAAAGAAACATTTCTTATTCAACGGCCATAAAAATTATTTCTATTAATGATGTCTCCAAAGTTCAACGAAGTTTTCGCAGAAAAATAACTTATCAGAAATCACGGCCGCCATTTGGTGCACTGCTCCGTGATGAAAACAAGCTTAAGCAATGGTGACATCGAACAGTGCACACTCGGTAAGTAATCCTACAATTTTTTGTTTATAGCATAGTTTATATGGATTATTCCCAAAAATTTATACGTATTTTGGAAATATTGAGTCAAATTAATCTAGAATTGATTAATTTTATGGAATAAAACCTTTCAAACAGCCGTAGTTTGTAAACTGCACATGTCAGGCTGTGATTGGCTCATGTATTTAAGGATTCCTACAACATGAAATTCTTATAACGTGGAACGTATCTACGCAATAGAACGTATAGGGGGTCTACTGTATATATATACATATACAGTGGTATCTCAGGATACGAAATTAATCCGTTCCAAAACTGAGATCGTATCATGAAAATGTCATAAGGTGAATCATTTTTCCCCGTACGATTACATGTAAAACCAAATAATTTGTTCCAACACGAATAACACACTCAAATCAAAGCTAAGTAGTACATTGAAAAAAAAAAACTTTAGTAAGGAAAACACTGAAAAAATGCATTTTGTAGTTGTAAATGTATAAATAACCATAACAGAATAATAAGTGATAAGAAAAATGCACTTTACCTTTGAGGATAGACAACGGTGGAGGTGTAAACTAGTGGCGGAAGAGAGGGAGAAGGGAAATGATACTAAAACTTAACTCACATAACATGATGTAACAATAACTTAAAAATAACTTAGAAAACATAAAAAAAATTCTGTTGTTTTATATATATATATTTTTTACTTTTTATTCACTGCTTTTTGCTTTCTTTCCTTCACTTCCACCAGCGCTTTCACTGGATAGAGGTCGCTTGGTAAAATATCTATCCAAAGGCTTTGCCTAAATTTTAAAATGTTTCTAAAATGACTTAGGCAAATGTCATTACTCCAAGCAGCAATACGGCCAGTGTGAACCTTTTCGGGATATTTCTTTTCAATAAAATCAGTCACTTTCTGATAATACCTCGAGATTTCCTTTATCGAGCCAGATCCTTCCACGACGAAGCAAACAACACCGACCGAGACCGACGAACAGAAGTGAATAAAAAATGGAGTTGCTAACTAATATAACGTCGTATGGTGAGTTTTTGTTCGTATCGTGGAGCAAAAATATGTTCGAATTTCGTGTCGTATCCTGAAAATTTCGTATGCTGGGGCGTTCGTATCCTGAGGTACCACCGTAATTATTCGAAACCGTCTTTTTGGATCATGGATCACTTTGCATATTCGAATAATTAATCTTCTTAATAACTACTTTTAATTTGCTGTAAATTTTAAGGACTTATCAGACTACAGTTTTTAATTTACAGCAAATTAAAAATAATTATTAAGACGATTAATCAAAATATAAGACAAAAAGAAATATTAATAGATAGTCACTTGGCAAAGTGAACGCAATTAATTATCTTCTGAAACAATGGTAAGGAATACAACAGCTTTAACTCGGTCACTATCCCTTACCACCATTAGGATTCAAAACGTACGTTAGTTTAGTTTAGCAGGTAAGATATACGAAGCCTTTCTAATCGTATTTTATATAAAAAGTAAATATAGGCCTAAGAAAAGAAAAAAGACACAACGTCCTGTCATTTTTTTGTGCTTTAGGCGACAGTTTAATGCAGGAATGACCAACAATCTTATCATTTAGTTTTTATTGTTAATTATTAGTATAAGGTCAATTCTGGAATAATCTTTTTCCTCACCGCTGACAAAGGTAATGAATTTTTTCACGATAGAGTGACTGAGGAATACAAGTATAACATAACGTGTCTGGAATGCGCTTTATAAAAACATACTGCGTATTACAGGGCTATATTTGAAAAGTCAAAAGATGTTTAAATAATTTGACTGAAGACACTTATATATAGCAGCTAAAGTACTTTTGTTTATATAAAAGAAAGTTCTAAATATTATTTTGTGCTTATTCAGTTACCTACTATTAACTTTTTATCTTATTTTATGTAAATATATTAATTTAATGCAGTCAAAGGAGAGCCTTTTTACTAAAACTTTCAATTCAATGTAGCCTATATAAATGTTTTATTAAAACAGAAAATTAAATCGACTTAACCCCTTCGTGTGGGATATAAGGTCTGGCGCAAAGTATCGAAAAATGTTGCGAAATTTAAAAAATAATTACCGTCTGTCCATCGAAAGGCTGCATCGATATTGTAAGGTATCCCTCTCCATACGGACATGTCACGTGGGTAGTCGGATTCGACTTTACCTCGATCCTCGTCGAATCTCCAATAACGACGACCCGAAAAAAAATAAGTTTTCTTGTTATGACTCCAAACCATGGCAGCATCTATTTTTCGAATGTTTGCGGCCAACCCCAAATCGGTCAGAGGTCGAGGGTAACCGGGTTCGGGTTGATTGGCATCGAACAACCAATACTTATTCCCTGAAAAGACAGCACTCTGATTAGTAGGCAGTTAACGTGACAATGAAAAAAAGAAGTCGCGGTTCGAGTACCGGAAAAGAACACTATTTTGGAGTCCGTGGGGCGTTCGTAAACGGCATCTATCCTCTTTAGATTTTCGGGGAGGTTGTACCAGAATCGATCGATGCGCACCGGATAACCCCGTCGCACCTTGTGACGATGAAGCCTCCAGAAGTACTGAAACGGAAATCGAAGTGAAAGCCTAATTGGGTCTAAGGAAAATAAGGTAAAACGATTCCTTACCTTTCCCTTAAAGACGAACACTTCCCGTCTGATGACGGAAATGGCATCGAATGTGGTATTGCATCGATCCGGCACGCGATTGTTCTGCGACGATTCCGTAGAGCGAGACGAAACTGTCGAAGTTTGCATTTTAGGGGGTGCTTTAGTTGTGGTCTGTTTCCATTTCTTCCGAGACTTGGGACCTGTTCGAATTTCAAAATGGAGGACATTCGAAAATACCAATTTTTAGAATGGATATTTCTTACTCACCGTAAAGTTTTTCGATGCCGGAAACATCGTCTTGGGGCAATTTATAATCGTCTTTAATCTCCTGATAATAAGGAAACATTAAAGAACCTGGAACAGAAGAATGGGAGAGCCCCAAAGAATGTCCTAGTTCGTGAGCGGCCACAGCAAAAAAATTGACTTCTAAAATAGCAAAAAAAAAAGACAATGAGATTCGGATCGACGTTTCGATAACGAAGAGAAAGATCGACGCACCGTCACTTTCGGGATGGGGAATTTCTACCACCCACTTCTCGTCTGCGTCGAAATGAGCATCGCCCCCGATTCCGTCTCCCGGGAAGAATGCGTGAGCCAAAATGGAACCGTGTCCGTCGAAGGGGTATCCGTCTCCGTGAGATCCACGTGGGAAATCGATCACGATGTCCGCCTTCGAGGAGTTGACTTCGTGAAACACGAGGCTCGAAGCTTCGCTCCAGATCTCGAAAGCTCTGATCAATTGTTTACGAATGGTGCTCCCGTTCATGTTCTTCACCCCGCCCTGCAAACTACCGAAACACCAAGTGTAAATTGAAATTAATGCTCACGAATAGGACATTTTAAAAAATAAAATTTCGATATTTGCTTATTCTGTGCCTTAAAACGGGGTTGAAAATTCGATTTCGAGGTACTTCAAAGATTCCATTTGTGTAGGAGAGCGACCTTGAAACGGACCGATCGAGGTAATTTAATCTGTCACTTAAACAGAAAAAGCGAGTCGCTGACACTAGCAAAGTATCTCTTCTTTTTAGTCTCGGGGTAGAGAGAGAGAGAGTTTGTTAATCTGCCGTGTGACGAAAGAACACTCGCGACCTGTGTGTTACGCTTTGTGTTTAACACATGTGAAGCGAGAGAAGAGATCGCTTTGATCGCCCGATCAATTGCGTTCGATTACTCGATAGGACGTTTTTGAATCAGTTATACCATCGCTTCGATCGACTTTCGATCAAACAATCGCGGTTTCTGTCGCAACGACGACAACGCAATCGTCGAACATCGTAACTAAATTCTAAGTAAACCATCGGAGCGGCATCCCGCGGTGACGCCAACAAGTGAACGATTGTCTCGCGTGATGTCAAACACTACTCCCTTATGACAGTTCGAATTTTGGCGTCTTACGTAACCGTTACGCATTTTGTCGAACAGAACGAAAGCAAAAGTGATGTTTCTAACATTCCTAGAAGAGGACAACGTTCTCGTCGGGAGTCCCGTACCTTCCCAGAACGGACGACCGGGAGACCCGACCTTGCGTCGCCCTTGACGACGACGACGCGCGTGCCGTGTGTGGGTACCCAAAATCGTGCCAAAAACCCGCGACGGAGGTCGAGAGTCTCGCTCTGGTTTCGCAACGACGAAAGAATAGCGGCGACGACGACGCCCCCCATTATAAAACAAAAAAAAATTGAATTTTGGGATATCGACCCGACATTAAATGGTGCCAATGGTTTATTAATTCCTTTTGTTCTGTCTCCTTCAAATTTATTAAGTTCTTTCGAAGGACGTCACTCCGTAACAATCGATTATTATTTCAAAAAATTTCCGTCGACATTTTTATTTTTTCCAATGTTCTAAATGGCCAATTGCGTAAGAAGTCTTTCTAAAAACACGAACTTATTCGCCACTTAAGGTAAACGATATCTTTCATAAAATGCCCGTTCTAAAATGAACACAGCCATAAAAATAGGTATTTTAAAGTAGGTACCCTTAAAAGTAAGTACTCTAAAATAGGTTGTTCCAAACAAATATCTTAGAAAATATCAGATATTCTGGAAAAATATATTTACAAAAAGATGGGTTCTCTAAAGTAAATACCATTTTAAAAAATAGGTACTCTACAGGTGTCTGTCTACAGAAGATAGATACTCTGAAACAAATATTCCAATAAAAAATAAAAAGATTCTGAAATAGGTACAGTACCTACAAAATACTACCGGATAAGCGCTCTAAAATAAATACCTCACATGAATGGGCATTCAAGCAAATGGGAGCACCAATTTTCTCTCATTTATTCACGAGAATTGGGTGCTTTAAAAGAAGTACTTCACAAAAAAAACAAGTGTTCTAAAGTAGGTATCCTACAAAAGCAGAGGTACCACCGATAGGTCTTCTTTTAAAGATTCTACCAGAGTTTAAACTTCGTATCTACAGAGTATAGGGGAGTACGGAGATTTTCGGAAAGGAGTGAAGACGCAACGGATGTCGTCGATATTTCCGATCGACTTTGCTCACTCTCGGAGGTTGTGATGATGGATAATCCGCACCACAACCAGGGTGAGTGAGGAGAGTACGACCGGACACCTGCCTTCGGAGTCAAAACACCGACGCTCCTCACCCTCTACACACTTATAAAGTCACTTTCTTATCGCAGGAAACCGTCGACGGAATATCAAACCAGATTTTTTTTTAAACGTTTCCTTCAACAAAAATTCCTGGACAATTAATTCTCCTTAACGATTTCGAAAACGTTGGATGCGGGTGACGACTCTCTCTCGGTGACGCATTAATTAAGACGTTAAGATTGTCACAAAAACACCCGACTCGCGTTACACGGGGAGTTGAAATAATTTGGAAATAAAATGGAGGAGGAAGTAACTTATCGTTAACTGTGTAAAACAGGCGCCACGTTTACTTTTACTTCCTATTGTTAATGAGTAGCGATTACTAACTTCCTCCAAATTATATCCTGTTTAATCCGGAACGTATTAGATCCGTTTAATTACAGATAACAAAATGGCGTCGCTCTAAAAAAATCGCGATTTCGTTCGTACCTCCAAGTCAAATTGTTAGTGGCCCAAGCTTGACCTTGAATGGCGTATCTCTTGTTGCGATTCCAATTGCCGATCCCGTCCGATACTCCGCACCTCTTTCGGTTCAGTAGGGACAGAGTGGCATCGTCGATCACTCCCGTTTGAGGAACGTTACCGAACATTTGCATCCTCAATATCGCTTTCCTCAATTCGCTGTCGCTCCTCAATTCCGAAGCATCTTTCGAAGACGATAAGTAGCCAAATCGCGATAGAAAATCCTAAATTAAAAAAAATATATTAAGTAAACAGATGTTCAGAACTTCAAAGAAAATCATTTTATAAACAGGATACTGTGTTCTTTTTTTTTTTTCTTTTGAATCGGCCAAATGTTTAGTCTGATTTAATAATTGATATCTAATAAACTTGGTTATTTTCGATGGCGACCGGCGAATGCGATTTTATCGCTGTCGCGGATCGGCTTTGATCCGATTCAAAAAATCTTTTAACGTGCTTTTTAGATTCATAAACGTAATTGATGAAAACGCGCCTGACGGGAATATTAAGGAAAATTTTTATAATTTAAAAAGGTTTCGGATGGCAATCGCAACGGATGCGATTTTATCGCTCTCGCTAATCCGATTAAAAATTCACGCGTTTTTTCAGATCGCGTAATCGACTAAAATGCGAGCGATTGGAGTTTGAGAGAGAGAATTATTTGGAATTTTAAAAGGTTCTCGGTAATTTATGCTCTTTAAAGAGTGTTAAGTTCGAGAGGAGGATCGAATATCTCGCGATAAAAGAATTTTTATCCATTAGAAAGTTGACCCGTTGACCTCGTGAACTACTAAATGACCTACATTAAAAGACCGTGAGCGAATTAGGACGAAAGCGATGGCAACACTTTTCCCATTCTCGACGGAAAAATCGAAATAATCACCTTTTCTCGCGAGATTATTAAACGACAGCGATTTAACCTTTCACCTTTCGCATCGGTCGCGACTTCACTCGGCAAACGAGCGACGAGAGCGCCTTTATCGGCGAAAAAAGTTTCTAGCGAAAATTAAAAATAAACAAAACAAATTTTTATAAATGAAAAATGGACTTACCACGATTTGTTGGAGAGAATGATCGCGAGTGGCATTAGTAACAACGTAGACGACGAAAAACAGCAATAAGAAAGTGTTCCTGGTGTCTGCCATGTCCCGTTAAAGCGATCGAGTGGACTAAGTTTTCGACTCGCGACGTCAATGACGAGGGACGATCTCCCGCCACATTTTGTCTGTCCCGACGCCTACACACCTAAACTTAGTTATAAAAATGGGTTGGGTTATTTCTGTAGGGACGGTAGCTACAGTGTGTGACCGACAGACCAAGTAGGTCATAGCCGTGTTAAGGTTACGTTAAATCCTTTCTTTTTCTAATGACGTCATTAGAGAGGCTAACACTAGCTAAACAATTCTCGTTTGTGAACGGTTCGTGCACTCGATCGCTCTTGTTACTTCACTCTTATATCGCCCTTTGTTCTTGTCCAATCTGCCAGCGGTTTGTTGTTGATCCTTTGACGTCGATTCGTCGTCGTCGTCTTTATTTATAAATATTTAAATCTTTCCATTCCTTTAATTATTTTTCTAGTAAAATGTTACCCTTTCGTCTCGACGTAAAAATAAATTTCCGTTTCGCGTTTAGAAAATAAATTTGAATTTATTTCTAATTTTTACTTTTCTGAATTTCGTCGAAGTTAAGTGATTAGTGTCGCTCTACGGTCGAGTGCGTTAAATGTGATTAAGTGGCGACATCTGTTGTTGGTGGTAATAAAATTCAATTTCTTATGTTGATGAGATTTGAAAGTAAATGCTTTTGAAAGATTGGCATTCAAAACTAAACTATGAGGCCTTTTATGCTCTGCAGTTATGTCCAACCACGCATATAAACATATTAAAAAATGCATGTCTGAACTTTTTCACTTGACATAAAGATAATTCCTGCAAGACAAGAAGTTGCAGTTGATGCACATCCAGCCAAAAGTGATAAAAGATTTATTTACTAACAAAATAAACTTTATGTATGCAAATCATCAATTAACATTATCTAATAGTAAAATATGCTTCATAATTAATCATATTTTACTATTCTCCTCTCCAAGTGATTGAACGTGGCCTTAAAGAATAATTTATTCCTTAAACTTCTGCAAACTTTTGACCTGTAGGAATTAAGTTTTCCCCATTCCTTATCAATAAAGAATCTGTAATTATGCTAGAAAAACTTAATTCATCTTTAATTCTTTTAATGACTGAAAAATTATATTCTGGCAAATTTATATATAGAACAATCTTGCTTCGGATACAAATATACAGCTTTTTTGGATTAAATTTTTATATAATTAAAATTGACTTTAAAACAGCAACTATATTGACAAACGGTCTTAATTTAATAGAAATTCCTCGGATAGCTTTAATTTTTAATAAAAATAATTTGATAAATTAGTTTCTTTAGCTTAAGAAGATCACATTTACAAAACAGCATATATATATTAATTAATACTTCACAACCTTTGGCTTATGTTGTTACCGGGAAATGGCAACGGGTAACATTCTTAAATTTAAATTATACTCTGAAACTTGTATTGCCTCGTTTGACACAATTCTATAAACCCATTAAGTTTGAAAAACAGTTGTAGCATAAATTGTGAAAATTATATTAGGTGTAATTTTTGTCTCAGAATATAAAACATTGACTTGAATTTAAATTTGATAAGATTTAGGCTGTGTCTAAATGGCCTGGTGGGTCGGGCTCTGTGTTTATGGGATCACACTTCCTTAGACACATTTAGTTTCTGTATGCTTGATATATCGCAGCACAGAAAAATACTGCAGTGGCCACTACCACAGACAGAGTCCAATTTGAATCTGGCAGCACTGTTTTCAGGATATTGTAGGCCCTAAAAACTTTTCCAATAGGACCCTTTTCGTATGCTCTGCGACCAAGAGACCTCTTCCTCCTTTCCGTCATGTCTAACATGCATTTTAATTGTTTCACGTCGTCGTCGTCCTTCACCAATTCCTCGGGAGGATAATTTTCAAACAGTCGAAGTGACTCGTCGACTAGACTTTCTATGGGTAGGTCGTCCGGAAACTGCGAAAGTAAGCAGTGCACGGATGCCATGTCGCATTCTTGTTTCAAAATCTCATTTTTTCTGTATAGAACAATGGCGGCGGTTAGGTACATCGGCATCCAAGAATGACTACAAAGAAATAGATCAAACAACCGTACCACTTCGTCATATCTGTTCAACACGTGTCCAAACCATGTGATTAACCAACTCAATCCAAACATCACTCCCACTTCGGAATCTTCTAAAAATTTTCTAAGTTGAGGATTTTCTTTTCTGACGAGAACATATACGTAGCCCAGAATCTGCGTGGTGTTGTCCATCGTTTCGTCCATAAAAGCCCGGAGGTGACCTCCGGGACGACTTTCTACGGCAGAAGTTCCAGAATGACCGACAGACAGTCGTTCCAGGAGAATAAAGGACACTTCCTCGCCCAGCACCAGCAGGAACGTCACACAGATGTCGTGATATCCCTGGTAATAGTGCAACTCGGGGTGCTTTACCAAAATTCTCATGATGAGGGCAACTAGTTTGTCTTGCATCGCTAAACGTTGGTTTTCGGCTATACTGGGTGGAAATCTCTTGAGGGAACGATTCACATCCATGACAACTTGATTATAATAAGGATGACTTTCTGTCTCTTCCTGAGTGGGTTTGGGAGAAGTTTCGTAAAGACTAACACCTAATAATTTAGGCCAACATTTTCTTCTTAAATCATCGTCGATCAATCCCCATTTTCCTACAGCGGCCATTTTTAAGGCTTGAAAATCATCTTGTTTCAATGCTTTAGCAATCGCTGCTTTCTTTCTCTCTTTCTTGTAATGATCTATAACCGTTTCATTTTCATTTTTCACGTGATTTTCATTAATTTCTTGAACGAAATCGGGACAATCCGTGACCGAGTTGCACGAATCTTGTTTACTTAATTCCATTTTCCGCTCTTCTTCCATTATAGATTTGTCTTGCGGCAACGTCTATTACCTTACATTAACAATATTCACCGAGTGTAAAAGTAACTTTAACAACGTTTTACAATTAAACATAAATCAAAAGTACAGAACTTCCCTCTCCACATGACCGTCGGTGTCATCACTAGTGATAACGCCCCCTACTGGATGTCAATAAAACGACAAAAATTAAATTTATTTATTTATTTTTTTAAATTATATTTTATGCCAAATTTATTTTATTTTTAGAAAAATTTTACTGTTTTTTTTAAATTAAATATTTAATAAATGCATTCTTAAATTTTAAGGATAACTTTTACCGTGGGTTTTGTTTAATCCATAATTTAAATAACATTTACAGAAGTAGCGACACCTAATGACTGTAGTTTTTATTATTCATTATTAAATTAATTATTAATTATTTTAAGTTTCGAATAAGTATTTAAACTCTAGATTAATTAAAAATAGATTTTTGCATATTATAATATTTTAGAAATAAAACGTAATTTGAATGAAAATCGAACTACATTTGAATTTTGAAAGGATTTGTGGAAAGAATGGAACGTGCGTTACGGTCTGTAATATCCTTAACATTGCTACTGCTTCCCAATGGAAGCATTCAGATTAGTCATAACTTAAACTTTCTAAGAGATTATGAAATTACGAGAATTTCTTTTCATTTCCAAAAATACAATAGAACAAACACATCTGTGATAGAAACATTTGAAGTTTTGACCGTGAATTTCGAGGCTTTCCAAAAAATTTACCATCTTCGACTCTTCGAGGAAGAAACACTTTCCAGACATTTTGTAGAAGAAACAAAGAATTTTTCCACGTATCGAGGATTTGTGGAAAGAGAAAATCGTTCCGAAGTTATCGGATATTTTCGCCATAATATTTTCGTCGGACAAATTTACTTACCGGACGAAATTCTTTATTTGGAATCGGCCGCTCATTATTTAAATGATTCGAAGTACGAAGATTCGGTTCTGGTTTATAAAGAAAGTGACGTCGTCTATCGAGATGCGGACTCTAAGACAAGATTTCACGACTTCTACGCAAAAAGTAATAAGAATGATGTTAACATCGCTGAAAGTAATTTAAAGTAAGAGATTTCAATTTGTCTGATAAATTCTAAATGTTAGAGATTGGCATTCGCGCAATAATTTAAATATCGAAATTCCTCACTTGTTATAATAATTCATAAGTATTTCGTAAGATCAATACGAAGTTTTAAATTACCGTTTTGTTTGTCCTTATTTTTTCCGAAGAAATGAAATTTTAGATCCGCGTCACGTGATATAAGAGAAAAAATCGTTCGAACGATCAAGGTTACAACATTGTCGTGGTCCGGATTGTAATTAAGTGTTACGTGTACAGATACGTGAATATTTTAAAACTCTTTTTTATATGTATTAAAATTAAATTAGAAAATTGAGCGCGATGTTCACAGAATCTTTGCATAAAGTTGAACAATTTGTTTTCTCTTTAATAGACAAGTTAGAATTCCCTTTCTTCTACTATCATTCTGTTTTAGAACAGCATAAAAGATTAGAAAAATACGAATTCGAAAACGTTCCTGACCATGCCACTTGCAAATTTTCATATAGAAGTTTGAAAAAATATGTCGTTATTTTTCTTAATTAACACAAATTTAGAAAATGTCCGGCTTTATTACGATCAGATCTCTTCTACTAGGTTACCTTAGACCTATCTCAAATAAGTAATACAGTAGAGTCCCGAAAACTCGGCACTCGATAACCCTGCAGTCCTGATAACCACACCCTGGCAGGGCGAAAAAACCCCTAGTTAATTTTCATTATAGACAGCTTTATGCCTCTTAAAGTACTTTTCTGAGCTCTGTCTTATCAGGTAAATTACTGTACACTGTGTATTCATTAATTTTCAGTTTCATGTGGTAAAGGCTCTATGCCTTCATAAAGTACTGTATTTACTTTTCCTTTAAGGTTATTTGGGCAGTTTATTCTCTGTTGTATTCTCAAGCAAACAATACATACAAGTACAGTACAGTATTTTCTGAGGAAACACTCGTACTTATTCTTTTTTAACCCTATTCCCAATAACCCGGCATTTTCACAAACTCGGCCACCCTTCGGTCCATATTAGGCCGAGTTTTCGGGATTCTATTGTATCAACAATGAGCTAGAATTCATCTAGTGCAATTCTAAAATATTGTAAATCTGTTTTTTACTTTTTATTTATTTATTTTTTTTTTGTGGACGTTAAGAGAGCCTTTTAGTATGCCCTTTATAAGTTCGATTAGGCCTCAATGGAACGGCTGAACGGTGAGGAACGTGACCCGACGTATCCGGAATAACCCACAAAAATTTCCCGGGAGTTTTCCAGCCCGAAACTAATTTCGGGTCTTTCAGAGCGGTAGGCTGACATTGGCGAACCGACGTCAACTTATAATTTTGATTATAAATAACTGTTTATTTTTCAGGGACCGAAAATTTTGCTTAGTTCAATTAGTCTCCGATTACACCTTTTCCGAAAGTATGAATTTCGATGAAAATCTAATAAAAGCCGAAATGATTCATATGATGAAACAAGTGGACAACATTTTCAAACATACAGACTTTGATGAAGATGGAAAACCCGATGGTATTGGTATTTTTATAGCGGAAATCTTTATCAAGAGAAACTTACCAGAAAATATCTCTTTGGTCACCAACTCTCGGGAATTTCTACATTTTGCATCGTTAGATATTCAGATGTCTTGTTTATCTGTGTGGTTTTGCTACAGAAACTTTGAAGATCACGTAGCTTACTCTTACCATCCTCTCGAGAGCGCTAACGAAACTGGAGGAATATGTCAAATGCCCATCAAAGATGAGGAAACGGGAAAATGGCATAGCAAGAACATAGTTTACGTTACTTATATTCATTATGATCAGCGACTTCCCGCTCCTGTCGTCTTGGCGAAGTTGATTCACGAAATTGGACATTGTTTCGGTAGTCCAAATGATCCTCCAAACGATCCCGTGTGTAGTCCCGATGACGTTCACGAAGCATTCGGAAATTATATAATGCACGAGGAATTTGTCGATGGGATCCAAGCGAACAACCAAATATTCTCGTTGTGTAGTCGAAGAGCTATCCACAATTTCATGCTGAGAAAAGGTAATTAGTTCTATTTTTCACCGGGACGAATTGCTGATTTTATGTAATAGAATAAAAGTTCTTTTGTAGGGCGATGTTTAAATGTAAGTTTAAAATCGGTGTGTGGCGATGGTATCACCGAACAAGACGAAGAATGCGATTGTGGTTATAAAGAAATTTGTGACTTGATCGACGATTGTTGCGTGCCAGTGGATGGAAATTATTCAGACAAAGAATGTACGTTCAGGAGATCTTTATCAAAGCGATGCAGTCCTCACGAATCGGAATGCTGCAATACAGATTGCAAAGTGGTAGGACGGGAAGAACACGTGACATGTTTTCCGGAAAATCCCTGCAAGAAAGAATCTGTCTGTAATGGTAAATCTGAAACTTGTCCTCTTGCAGAATATAAAACTGATGGAAGTCCCTGTTTAGGAACGTTCCTGACGTGTCGTTCCGGGGAATGTTCTAGCAATCCCTGTCTGGATCATAATCTGACAATGTGCAATTGTTCTCCAGAAAGTGGCGAAGAGTGTCACGTTTGCTGTTTTAACGAATGGCATGTTTGTCAATCCGTATCTAAGTTTGGATTTCTTGCCCCGAATGGAAGACTATTTCTGAAATTCCCTAAAACTAAATGCGCCAAAGAGAAGGGAGAATGCAATAGGTGAGTAAATTCTTTGAAAATTAAATTTTATTGATTGATTTTCTTCAAAATTCATGAAATTTTACAGCAACGGAGCTTGCATGGTGACAGAGAATCCAGAAAAAATGTGGATCTCTTTGTATTGGCCTTACCTGGTATTATTCATAGTATCTTTTCCCGTAGCCTGTCTAATTCTTTTATATGTCATTAAGAAGAGACAAAGTACAACACCAAATTCAAACGCGATAACACCACAGACGTCGAATACGAACCCCAAGTTCAGCTATCAACCTTCCTATCTAAATGTAGAATCTAATCTAGATCAACAACACTCAACAGTGTTTGGTCGTCAGTTTTAATTAAACACGCGAAATGTAAATTTATTGTAGAAATTTATAAATAAAATTTGGTTTATTTTAAATCTTAAAGTGGAATTAAAAAGTCTCTTTACGATCGTGCCAGAGCTTCGTGTTTTCCAACTGCAGCTGTTGTGTTTCCCCGCAATGATGTCACTTCCTGGTTTCTTCATCCTCTACATGCATTCGTAAGCCAGGAAGTGACATCATCACACAGAAATAACACCACAGATTGTTGGCATATAACTTAACTCTGCTTTAGAAAACCTCACGACATGTCAGCTATAAATATAAAATATTTAAGTGTTAAAGACTTAATTTTAATAGTTTATAGTTATGAATCCTAGATTCATTCTTTAAGTATTGTTTAAATGAATGATTAGAACCTGAAGTAAGTATCGCTTTCAATCTTCATTTACGACGAAGTTTAATTAATTAATAAAATGCTGACCTCTCGATCAATTAAGGGTTGACGCGAATTACGTCACGAATTCTCCGAGTGACGTTTAACGAATGTCAAACTGTCAGAAAGGTTAATTGCTCTCGTTACAATTAACAGTGATAGGCTTTGTCTCATTCTTCTTTCAACGAATCTACAAATTCGTGTTGCAACTTATATTTTGCAATTTCAATCATTTTCACGAAATTGTTGCATCGTAATTTCGACATTTATAATAAAATAGCATTAACTTAATGTGATTAACGATTGCGAAAACGAAATTAAACGCTTTTCCCGAAACGATTGCAAAGTTACGTTCACGTAAACGTGATCTTTACATCATTAAAATTGACACGATGATGCTAAGATTGTTAATCAACTCTATTTATTTTCTCATAGATTTATTCAGAAATTACTACTTTGGGATACTCATTCCGAAGTAAATCGCTGAACAAACGGATTATTTAGCTAAAGATCTAATCCAAAATGAGTAAAAAGTGCTGATCATAGATCTATGGGGCAGTCCATAAACGTCACGCCTAATGGGGTATTTCAGAATGTGATACAATGTGACTTTTTTTAAAACTTTTTCCGCTCTGTGGGCATTAACAGGGCCTCTTTTAGCAAGTCCATTATGAGTTCGGCCACCCCCGAAAAATTCCTGGGGATTTTTCGACCCGTCCCGATTCGATACAGGGTCTCCCTGAGCGGTAGGCTGGTTGACCCTTTGATCCGGCCGTCACGCAATGTGCGTAGTGTGGAGGGGAAGGAAATTATCCTTACGACGTCACGTTTCACGTTTACCACTGATCAGTATCATAATGCTTTTTTTTAACATAATATGCCACATTTAAAATACATTTTAAAAATTTAGTTTGCGCACTTAAATTTATATAAAAACAATAAAAAATAGCAAAAATTAAATGTAGTATATCATACAGTTACTTTACTATGTCTGATAACACATAATTTGTTACGTGCAATTTCTGTGACTATAATAGTGTAGACTTCTCACTATTGTATTCACATCTCAAATTGTATTTGTTATGTTACAAATGATTATCATTTCAGGCTTTTACAAGTCTGAAGACAAAAGAATATTAGAATAAGTAATGTAATGAAATTGTTGTGTTGTTGCTATGAAGATATAAAAGCAGATCGTCTTTATTTCTAAAATCAGTTATGTAATGTTATGTAAAATCAGTCTAATGTAATGTTACTTTTATGTAGTGGTTTGTTTTGATAAAAGTGTGAATAAATCATTTTATGTTAATAAATCCGTTACATAATTGATGCAGATATTTACGTGGTAATAATGCAAAGGCTTTGAAAGATTCACGTCATTTGTGAAGAGGTTTATCATAATGCGAGTTAAAATTGTGGGATTTTAGTACGACATCATTTATGGATGATCGAATTCAAGAAAATGAGTAATTTGGAGTATTCATTTCTGAATAAATCTATGAGAAAATGGAGATCATTTAATTTTAAAATAAGCAACAAATTCAGAATAATAGATCCATTTAGGAAATGAGTAATTTTGAGTGCTCATTCTAAATATCTCTATAACTATTTTTTTTATTTTTCCTCATTTTGATCCAGTTAAATAATTCAATTGACAATCAAATCATAATAAACAACCAATAAGAAACTTCAATCGATTTAGCGTTTTTTAGAAAGTAACGAACCAAAATTGACATTGATTTAGTCGACTACGGAATATTTCCTCATGCCCAATGACTGTCGACTTTTTGTATTATCTCAAAAATTACTACATCGTGAATATTCCAAATTTTACATAGTTTAAGTTTAGTTTTTCTCATAACGATCGTAACGCAATGTCTACTGTTGCTAATAACGAATCCTGTAAGTTTTTAAACTATTTATAACTGGCTGTTTTAGGTTATGTGAAATTCTAGGCAAGCGTAGACTAGCTAAATCCTTTATACATTTCGCATTGTACGATAATGCATATTGTTCGAGATCTCGTGCTGAATCAAAGTTGGATGGACACGTCGACGAGGATGGGCTTTAGACTTGTAGCCTTAAGCTGTAATATGTAAGAGGTCCTTTCATCAAACATGGATAAATTTAAAAGTAACAAGGTCCGTAAGTGCAACTTGTTGAGCTTGATGTGTTCATCCGGCCTGGCGTACATGTATATCTTTCGAGCGTATACGAAGCCCCTAAAAGCTTAAGGTCCTTGATATAAGCTTAGATTTCCTATACCTAAAACAGCCAAAATGTATAATAAATTAATTTACTCGATTTTTTTTTTCGCATCACGCGTCATATGAAATTTAAGCAATTTTTGCAAATTTCACGTGTCAAACACGCTACAGAATTTCTATATTCTTTTTGTTAAATGAATTTCTTTTACAGCGTGTAACGAATATATATTATCAATTTTCTCATAAATAAATCACTAAAAACATCTTATGATAATAAATATTTCGTGTACTTCGGACTCATTTTTATAAATATTCCGCATTATTTTTTTAAAATAATCATTTCGATAGTTGCTCTTAAGAGATGGAGAATCCCCAGAAAATAGGTAAAAATTTTAATCTTAAGATCTTTTCTCACTAATAATATTTGAGCCTGATCTTAGATTCGGTTATTTCATCTCTCTATCGAATATTTTGTATTGTTTTCCTTCTTTGTAACGGGCTTATAGTGTTTCTGTAATTACGGTTCGTGTTTAAAATAGTCCTCGATGATTATAATCTGTAAAATAGTTGTAATGTATGGAATAGTTACTGTTTTTCTCATAACGATCGTAACGTAATGTCTACTATTGCTACTAACGAATTCTGCAAGTTTTTATAGTAAAATCTGCATTTATAACTGGCTGTTTCAAGTTATGTTTTAGTTAGCTAAATCTTTCCTTTAAAATAAGTAAAAAATGCTAATCATAGATCTATGGGGCTGTCCTTAAATGTCACTCCTCATGGGGAAAGGGAAATGTATGTCGTAATTAACTTATTAATAAGTTAGTTATGTTAGTTAATAATATAATTAACTTATAGAATACCTGTAGAGAAACTAGCTTAACTTGTACAATAGCTACAGCTTTAAAATAATGATCTAAGAAATAATATAGCCTTATAATGGTTCGCAATCTGTTTGAGTTAGTGAAACACCAACGAGCCAGACAAACAATATTAAAAAGTAGAGAAATAATTAGATTTTTTGAATTATTTTTTTGAAATTTTGTGAGACCCTTATGAGATGTTCGCCACATACCAGTTGAGATCCTCTTAGTCTATGAAGAGAAGAATGTAGAATAGACGTAGTCTAAAAAAATAAATCTATGTTTTAAGGTCAGTCGATGATTACGTAGGCCTAATGGTTTTAAATAGATAAGATAAGGCCTGAGTAGTGATAAATGTGGCCTAGCACTTTCGAAAAACAATAAAAATATGATGATTAGGCTTTAAATCAATAGAGAGTTCGATTTTTTACATTAGAACAATAAATTAGAACATTTATCGCGAAGTCTAAATTTTTGTATCGTATTTTTTACATAGAAGTTCAAATTTCGGAGCCTTTTGTGTCCGAGACCCTCTCCACTGACCCTTTCTATGGCTAATTAAATTTAATGAAAAATCGAACGTATATACAGAAAATGAAAATACATAATAATGAATTTATATACAAGATAATATTTTGACTTTGCTCGATATTATCAGTTTACTTTTCCACGGTTTATAGAGGATATTAATATTATCGATCAAAAGATATATAAGTGAATAGATATACGTAAAAATTATCTCCTATCTATCGATAAATTCACATAGTTACTTCTATTAAAACTTATAAAAATTATTATTATTATTATTATTATTTTATTATTAGCTAGCGAACAGGAATTTAAAATGGCGATAGCCATTAAGCCGTTAATAGAAGAAGACGAAGACATAAAAGATTTAACGGACGTTATAGGCCATTATGGAAAATGGCAGAAAATCATTTTTGCATTCATGTTCTTCATCGGTTTCCCGGCAGCATGGAACAATTTAGTTTTAACATTTATTGCTCCAGATATTGATCATTGGTGCGCTAGAATACCCGCATATAAGAACATGAGTGTCGAGGATTGGAAAAATTGGACCATCCCCGTTGTGGGTAAGAATGGAAATCGTCCCGAATACGACGAATGTCGACATTACAAATGGATGACAAATTCGTCTGCTATTGTTTACGTCGATCACAATCGTACCGTCCCTTGTAGTTCTTGGGAATACGATCATTCTTTTTATTCTCGTACTATTGTGGAAAAGGTAAGTAAAACCATTAAATTTAACCTATTAGCCGATATATTTTGATCTGTATTCTATGTAATTTTAGTGGAACTTAGTCTGTGACAAATCCTGGTTAATATCTATGAGTCAATCTGTATACATGGCTGGAATTTTATTAGCAAGTTTACTATTAGGTCATATATCTGACAGGTGAAGAATTTTTTTATAGAGCAGTTAAATGTTTATTTTTTAATAAATAAATTTAAAAAATTCTTTCTTTAATTAAAGATTCGGACGACGACCCGTTCTTTTAATTTCATTCGTTTCAACATTTTGTTCTGGTATTATTTGCGCATTTTCACCGTCCTACATTGTCTTTACGGTTATGAGATTTATCATAGGATGTGGAAAATCAGGTCTTTTTGATACTTGTTTTGTTCATTGTAAGTATCGATTTTTTAAGTATCAAAAAAGTTCATTTTTATTAATAAAATTGTGTCATATTTTATACAAATTCTATTATATTACAATATATTATAAAGGAATTAATCAAACAATTTATGCGATGATTGGAGGATTTTAAAAACTGGCGTATGGTAATTGGTCGGTTTAAAAAATTTATGTGAGCTGATTGACAGAAATGTTTCAAATTTCCTCCAATCAACACATGCCAGTTTTCAAGATGACCAATTATCGTAAGGAAATTTTTTAAATCTTCCAATCATTGCGTGCCAGTTTTTAAAATATCGTAATTACTTGTAAAAAGTAGCAACCAAAAAAACTTTATTAAGAAAACTTATTCTAATTAAATATTAAGTAATGGAATCAGTCGGACCAGAATATCGCTCCGTTATTGGTATAGCCATTGAATTTGGATGGGCAACAGGATACATAATGCTACCGGGCATCGTATGGTTAATTAGAGATTGGTTTTACATTCAGCTAGCCATTACCATTCCAATTATACTCCTGGGTACGATGTGGTGGTGAGGACATTTGATAACTATTTCAGTGTGATTTTTCTGCCAATGCCGAATATAACAATATAATAATATAAAACAGGTTTTTGCCGGAATCTCCCAGATGGCTATTAAGTCACGGAAAGCTGAAAGAAGCGGTTGAAGTCATGGAGAAAGCTGCAAGTATTAACGAAGTTTCAGTCTCTGATATTGATACGTGTATCAATAAACTTGCCACGAATATTGGAGTTGAAGTAAGAATTTTGATTTATTTTTATTTTAGTACCGCATTTTATAATTACGTTTATGTTTTGAATCATGTAAATTGTAAATTTACGTTTAACTTTCAGAGTGAAGAAGTTGTAAAACATAAAACTGTCTTAGATTTGTTTAGAACAGCTAATATAAGATGGAAAGCTCTTATTCTCTGCTTAAATTGGTAATTACTGTAATTATGTTTATTACTTCCATAGGAATGACCAAAATTTTAGCAGTGAGTGGCTCCAGTGTCACGATCTCATGTCGACTTCTAAACAAATTAATATTCAGATTCCGGGATAGAATTTTTGTAATGGATGGTTCCGATTCTAATTCCTGAATGCTAATCCCTTAAAAAATCTTAAATAGAGATGGTTGGATAGCTGAAGCAGCAAAGGAAATATTCTACTGTGGAGGACAAAATTCGAGTCCGGGTCTTCTCAGAAATATTCATAAATAAATTGTTCCGAATATTTCGAATCTCACCACCTAACTTCTCCCATTTTGATTCTAGTCGGGAAAAACTGATTCTCTTGGTGTTCGCAGAACAGAAAAAGGGTCGTTTTACATCTCAATCATGATTTATAAACTTCCTTAAATAAAAAATTTCACCGCATGTATTTTTTTTATAAATCAAGTCGCCGAATAAGGAGCTATTATCATCAGGGCTGTTTCTTTAAATTAAAGGAATTATAAAAATTTAGAACAATTATATCTATTTATATATAGAACAACTTTTACTCTTTTCATGAGACACTAACAGGGCTTTTTTTATCAACCCCTCAGGGTTGCATTAAGCATTAGCATGCTTGGCGACATTCATGATAAATCGTAGATTTTATTAATATAATGGACTCTTCGGTGCATATTGGATCATTCCCTGGTCATGCCTATGATCATTTCATTTTTTAAATTACTTTAAGTTTTTAAGTAAGCCTTAAGGATAAAATTTTAATGTTAAATTATAATTTTTGCAGGTTTGTTGTATCTTTTGTATTTTATGGTATTTCGCTCCATACTAATAGTCTTGGAGGAAACACATTTTTAAATTTTTTTATATCAGGAATTGTAGAATTTCCTGCATATTTTGCTTGCATTTTCATCGTTAAATATTTAGGAAGGAGACTACCATTAACTATATCTATGGTTGGTGGAGGATTAGCATGTATCTTAACCATCCCCATTCCGGATAGTGAGTAACATTTAAAAATTTACAGAAAATTTAAAACTTGTACTTTAATTTATTTTTTAATTTATAATGAACATAAGGTTTATTATGGCTACGTATACTATTCGCCATGGTGGGAAAATTATGCGTTACGGCCGCATATGCCATTATTTATATTTATACTACCGAAGTATATCCTACAGTTGTAAGAAACATAGGTTTGAGTTCTGGCTCCTTCTGCGCTGGCATGGGATCTGTTCTAGCTCCATTTGTTAAAGAAATAGTAAGTAAATTACCATAATTTTCTGATGTAAATCAATTTTTACGGATTCATATTAATCAAATTTCACGTTTATAGGGAGAATACACGAGTCCCATCGTCCCCATGGCTCTGTTTGGTGGATTATCAATGGTAGCGGGTCTACTAATTTTACGACTTTCAGAGACTAACAATAGAACTTTACACGATGTAATCGATCAAAATGATAGGTTGGTGATTGCAGGAACTTCTAGATGACTCCATTTATATTAAGTTTTGTTTCTTTTCTTATTTGTAATATTCACAAATAAAAGACATTTTTAAGTCTTGTTTTTTATTTTGAAAACAAATGCATGTGTTATTTAATATATTCTCAAATTTTTATGTGAGCCATTTCTCCTATTTGTATAAAGTATCTTTATTTAAACTGATATTTGGGCACCAAGAAGCCCTTCTATTCCTTTCACATCATAATAGTTCGGTCAAGCCAACAACCAGTCAGGCAGTCAGATGGTGAAAGACCTACCTATCCGAAATGAACCTTCCACAGAAAAATTTTTGGCTTGAATATATTATATTATATCCAGACCCAAAATGGGGGCAGCCTTCCGCTTCTGGGAACCTGGAGCCATATTCTGGTCACTGTCTCTGGTCTCTGGTCTCTCGCAAGCCGGTCGCTGATTGGCTAATCCGAATGATTAGCCAATTGGCGACCGGCTTGCGAGAAACGAGACGAGAGACAGTGACCAGAATATGGCCCCTGGAATCGAATGCGGCGGTGAAAAAATCCCAGAAATTTTTCTGTAGATAGTTCATTTACGTGGGTCCTTCACCATCTGACTGCCCGATTGTTAGCCTGACCAAACCAATAATGGGCTTGAAAAAAGCCATCTTAGTGCTCAAAGAATAGAAAGTAAAAGATGTCCAAATTTTGTCGTTACATCGTTACAGTATAGTTATTTAATTCTTCTAATTTCACTAACTTAATTATGCTTCTCATACTTTGTACGTATACACAAGTCAAACGATTGCAATTTGTAAGTTAAATAAAAAAATTCAATACGTGGACATGTGAAAGAGATTTCCGCAATATTACTAATAAATTGGATATTGAACTATATGCTATATTTATTTGTATTTTACTTTCATTGTTCTAACACTGGAACAGTTTTATTTTAAAAAATCACTTTTAACTTTTGCTTTCTTATGAGTTAAAGATATAACTTTTCTCTTTAATGAAGATTTTTCACCAACGGGCTAGAATATGAGTACTACATAGAGTGGCTGTGACCATAATTACAGCGCTCTTGGTGGCAACAACGAGTACTATCGACCGACATTTTACTTTCAGTCAAAACATTGAAGTCTGTACCACGTGTTGGGCAGGATTGTCACTTCAGAATCTATTTTTATCATCTAAATCTAGATTGTTTTGTTTGCTCCAAGATTTCAGATTTAAAGCAATTAGATAAGTAATATAAATCTAAATTGTTTCATCTCGAATTTAACTATTTTCTACATTTTATTTAATCATTATAAAGAAGGTCAGATCAGAGTTTAAAGTGGTAAGTGTAGTACTGTACTTAATCCTCAATATAACAATGTTTTTATAATCCAAGTACGAGACAGATCTTGAAGGGCTTTACTCTCAGCCATATGATTATTTATTTATAGTATAGTCTGGTCAGTCTGATCTGTATCATAGTACATTGTTGATTTTTTTTACAATGTCTTTTTTTTCAGAATATAAGTAGTAGTGTTATTGTGTTTTTATTATAGTTATAGTTTGTTTGTGAAAATATTTACAATGAAAAATTACATTTTGACCTTTGTCATATTATGAACCACATTTGTGGAGTTAAAATCCTTCTAAAAGGAGCTAATAATTGTGGAAAATGGAAGAAGTGTTGTATTTTCCCATCAAAAATAGACAAAGAAAACATACCAGTAAGTGAAAGAGACAAATATGTAGAAACTGCACCATTAGAATGTGTACAAATTGTGCACTATATGTATCATTCTGAATAACAAAAGTATATTAATTAAGACGAACTAACCTTTTATTCGTTATGTTGTAGACAACAACCTTAGAAATTGAAGCCGTGAGCCCGAAAAGGGATTGGAAAATTACCAATCCGAAACGCACTGCTAAATAGGCGAAATAAAGTGAATTTGTTTTAATCTTGTCTGTTAATTGCGGACAATTAAGAAAGTCGTGATAAATACCATTAGTCTCATTATTAGAAGAAGAAACCTTTATTTATAATTTTTCATATTTTCAATTACAGTATTATCGAATGGAAAAAAGCTTAATTTTGAAGGTAGTGATGAATTTTTATTAAAAAATGTAAACGTTAATAACGAATAACATCTTCATTAAGCTGGATCTCTCTCGAGATATGACACATGACAACCCTCTATCTCCCCACCGCTTTAATAATAATTAAGGAGCTATGATGCCATTAAATAATAATGAGCATTTATGCTAGTAAATTAATAAGAAGCATTGATGCTTCTTATTAATTTAATAGCATCAATGCTCCTTATCAAACTATCATGCCAAATTTTGTTTCTTATAGACGGCAACACACACATTTACGGAATATTTTTTCCTTTTTTTTTACTTTTGGGTTCAAGAGGTATCAAAACGTGGAGATTTATAAAAAAAAAACTCTGAGGGTCAAATTTGACACGATTCCAACAATGCTTTCCGTTGCTCTGTATATATATATAACAGCCGGGAAAGTAAAATTAAGAATGTTTAGAAATGCATTTAGCGTTACAGAATATTTTAGAAAAATTTAAATAAAGGGTTAAAGAAAGAAATGTCTTGTTATTTACTTTCAAAATTGAAAAAGTACTTAGTAGAAGCATTTTGACTCGCACTATCTTAGTTAAGGGTTAAAACTCTTTCTTTCCTTTGTACACTTTTACACAACGAGTTAGAATATTCTAGCTCGTTGCCTTTACACAACACACGCTTTCTTGACTAAAATAAAAATGGCGGATGTGTATTCAATTTTCTTCAAACATGGCGTCGCTTCAGCCACTATGTAATATATTCTAGTCGTTGTTTTTCTCCCTTTTTTATTTCCATGTCATCAATATAGTTTCCTTTTTTGAAATTCTTAACCGCACAATATTATTTTCATTACAAGAATATAAAATCAGTTTAAATCAGCTTTAAACATAATTAAATATATTTTTTTAAATTGTAAAAATTTTTAATACGAAATAATACATTTTTTATTTATAATATTATTAAATAAAAAAGAAAATTTAAAATAAATGTAATTTACTACAGTACAGATTTTTAATATGTCGAAAATTTTTGTTCCACTTCGAGAGTTTTTTTTAACCAGAAGGTATCACATCATGAACAGCGCCTCTAGCGGTCATAGTGGAATTATCGTCTGACGCCCCTTCCTTCTTCGTCTGGTTTCCTTATTTATATTACAGAAATGGCAAGGGAATATGATCATCTGTTTAAATTGCTAATTATTGGCGATAGCGGTAAGTTAATTTATATTAATTTTAATCAAATTCTATACACGAAGCTATTTATTATTATATAATGGCGTATACTTGACTATCATTCATTTTCCTATTGCATGAAGGTGATTTGTTAAGAAATTTTTAAAAAATGTCCTGACAAACAAACAAACAACAAGTAGAGACTGTGTTATTGTAATTTTTTGAAGTATTAATTAATAGAGAGCATCAAATACTTAAAATATTTAAAGAGGTATAAAAGGATGTCAAATGAAATAATCAGAGCTTAACAGCAATTTATTGAAGTAATCTTCCTCAATTTTTTTCTTTCCTTAATGTTTTTTTCTCTTTGAATAAACTGAAAACATTATTTTAGAGGGTTGCTGAAGCAAACTCTACTTAAAATCACACATTACATCATTACATTATATATTTCTTTGTAGTATACATTGTTTACAGTATAAATGTGTGTATATTGTGTGTGCATGCACTGTCTATTCTACGTATATATAGAAAGAATATAATTATGGTCGCTGTTTTGTATACATTGTGTTTTTTCTGCTATCTATTACTATTTTTATACATATATACATTTCAGATGTTACATATATATTGTTCATTATGTATATTTTGTACTATACTTTCTGTATTCTATACATATGTAGGAACAAATAGACACGAGCACGTAGCGTGTCTAAACTTATTGTATTAAGTTAAAATCGTTTGTTGAAATTAAATTATTTTTAAAAATATCGTTTTTTAGAAAATAAACACTGTTTTTGTATATGATTTTTATTGCATTGTGTAGGGATTCAATGGTCTGGATGTAATTTATAAATAGATGCATTCAAATTTTTTTTTTATTTTTCTTTTTAAACTGTGATAGTCAAGTATCTGATCTAAAGTTTAATTAACAAATTTTCTTATTGATTTTGTCCACAAATCTGATTGCAAAATAAGTAAAATAGCTTCATCCATTGTTAAAAATGCATTGATTAATTTAGTTATTAAAATACTTTGCATTTTTTTCTAATAAGCTGTAAAAAGTATAAGAATATGTTGCAGTTAGCATCAGAATTCAAAATTTTATTAAATGTATATTTGGTGGTATTTAAATGAATTTGCATGAATGATTTCTATGTGTACATAAATACATACATATTTCCTCACATCTAAGATTAGTGCATAGAAGCCATAGTGTATGCAATAAATTGTATTGCTTGATATAAGGAATTCTTAATTTCAGTTTCCATGATTATAATGTAACTTCCTACAAGCTAAATATTGTGATTTTTACAAAATATTTTTGTTTTACTGTTTATGCTTTGAGGCCGTAGAGTGCCTTTTTAACCACATTTTGCCTTAGATTTTGGCTGGGCGATGAGAAACTGGGTTCAATATATCTGGGATGTGTCAGCTATGAAAAAGCTGAGGTTCCCAACACAAACTCAAACATGGATCAAGCATGGCAGTATGACACCTTTTTTCATTCTGGTTGTCTATAGCTAAGCTATTAATTAATTAAAGGACTGTACATTTATGTAGTATGATTATTCCAGAAATTATATTAAAGATGTGCAAGTTAATAAGAAAAATCAAATTAGAATTATTGTAAATTGGTGAGAATTAAATTGCATTGTTAAAATATATTTATCTAATGTAGTTTTGCCATGTTTTTAGACACACATGAATTGATAAATGTTTAGTTGAATGTTATGTTATTTTTCAAACTGAAATATTTTAAAATTTTGATTATTTTATGTAGTAATGAATGTTAATGAAATAATAAATTCTTTAATGTCACTAATTATAATGGCTACAGTGTGGTTTGTAAGCAACAATTTCTTAAAATCCAATAAATATAAACATCCATGTTTGAATTGGAATTTAAATCCATAATTTGGCAAACTAGGATTACACATACAGATGCATGATTCTCTGAATTTTTAGTGCAGTTTCCTTTGTATCAGCTTTTTTTCCTACTATTCTCATGTTATGCATGTAAATGTCTGTCCATCAATAATACACCTTTTTATATAGAAAATCTTGGATAGTCAGGTGAAATAATAAACAATACTTCTAAAAACCAAAAAAGTTTTTTTAGAAGTGTTTTATATTTACATCCAGTTTTTAAAAGATTATTACATTTTTAACCTTATAATAATTCAAACACATTTTAAGTAATTACTTTAATAATTTATTATTAATGCTGAAAAAATGTGAATAAAAACAAAATCAATTATTATTCATTATATAAACAATAAAAACTCTAAATGTAGTTCTAAAATGTAATTTACTGCTGTTAATAATACCAAATCATCTGCTGGATTTTTATAATGTTATATTAAGGCTAATCCAGCAGATTGTTTGGTAATATTAATATATTGGATTGTTATATGTGCTGCTGTATACTGCTATTGATGTTTTAATGTTTGAATGAAAATTAAATTATAATTATAATATTACTAGGATAAAATTCCAAAAAATTAACATAGTACAGTTATAATTACTTGTTTCCTAATTTAATTAATATTGACAAATTCATTCTTTTAAAAAAACCAAAAGAAAACTTTTGTAAAATTGTCCTTGACTAAATATTATAAAATTTCTTCAAATTAAGATATTAAAAATTCTAATCATCAATTTAAGACAATTAAAGTAAATTGAAAAAAAGTTATTTCTGCTGCAATCATAATTTTGAAGGGTTAATAATAATTGAAATTAAATTGTAAAATAAAATTAAAATATTTTAAACTTTACTAAAAAATTGCGAATTGAATGAAATATTTTCTCTAATTTACAGAATTTTTATTAATGAAGTTAAGGCACATGATAAAGTTTATATATTTATAAAAAAAATTGTTTAAATTTTATAATTTTTATATTTTCATAGTTTTGATTATTTTTGAATTTATCAAATAAGATCAGCAATAGATTAACAAATTATATCAAAATATATTCAATCACTTAATTTCAAAATGTAAAGAAAACTAAAGCTTTAATGTTTTCTTATCAATTAACTAATGTTAGTGCCAGTATTTATCTATCTATTGTATATAGCAGTAATTAAATTATCATCAAATGCTGATTTTGCCATTGTTGAATTCTTGATAAATTTTTATATTTTAAAATTTTGTTTTTATTCTTTGTTATACCAAAGATCTCGTATTAAAATCCTACCATTCCAATCAATCTGTTATTAATTTATTTTGGTTATAAATTGATAATTATTTGTAATTAATAACTTCATGTTAATATTAATTTTAGAAATTTTTGTGATTGTATGTATAAAATTTTTTATGTATTTTATAATTTTTTATATCTAAATTTGTTCATTTTTATATAATTAATCATGTACACATGTTCATTAATTAAAAATTTGTTTATTCAAAAATAAATCAAATTATTATTAAATCAATTTAAGTACATGTGAGGTATATGCCAATATTTAATAATTAATATAAACACTAAAATATTATGGTTGAGATTATGGGATTTTCATTAACTCAATTTATTCATTAACCACTTACAATATTGAGACCTTAGTGGACAATTATTGCTTTTAGAAAGATGTTTTATTCAATAACATAAATCTTTTTACAATATGCATTTTGGCCCAATTACTAGTTTGGCCCTCTTTAGTTGCACTGTAAATTAAAGTTACAATTATAAATTATTCTAAGGGGTATTTTTACAAAATTATTATTATATTACAATTAAACTGTTTAAGAAAACAAAAACTTTTTTATATGTAATTTTTTTCTTTTTTTATTAATAATATTTCCAGTTCTATCATTTACTAGACTACATCAAAATTTAAATAATTGTTTCTCTTTTTAACATAAATATTTAAAAAAAAATTATAGAACTTGAGTTTTGCATTTTCTTTACATTTTTTAAAAGTGTATTTTTCCAAATTTTACAAATTTGATCTTACAACTTTTACTTTCTTATACTGTACACTTTAACTACTCTACCAGAATTAGTTTTTTTAATATGTAGTTTACAGAAACTATTTATTGGTGGATGACATCATTCCAACACTTGTCTAATTTAAGACCAACATTTAAATTTAACAAATTTTTGTTTTTTTTTATAAAACAGTATTCTTTAATTCTCCTTTTTTATTAAATCTTTTTTCTTTTACATGAATTTTTAATATTACTTGTGTCTATTTTACAGTTATGTTCTTTGACATGTGTAAACCATAGAGATTCCTTATAACTTAACCTAATAGTGGCTTCATGTTCTTTAATTCTTAATTTTAATTGTCATTTGGTTTTACCTATATAAATTTTTTTATTTTTATCATTACATGTACAGTTTATATGATATTCATCAGACATTTGGATTTTAAAAAAAATTTGTGTGTTTTAACAGTTTAACTGTATGTTAAACTTTGCATAATTTAGTAAAAATACCCCTCCTTAGATAATTTATAATTTTAACTTTAGTTGCAGTTAATTTAGTTGCATAAATTATGTACTATAATTTATACTGCAACTAAAGAAGGTCAAACTAGTAATTGGGCCAAAAATGCATATTGTAAAAAGAAGTGTGTTGTTCAATAAAACACCTTTCTAAAAGCAATAATTGTCCACTAAGTTCTCAATATATTGTAAGTGGTCAATGAATAAACTGAGATCATCCCATAATCTGAACCACACTAATTTAGTGTTTATATTAATTATTACAAAAAAACCACCCCTCATTGTTTCACACTTTTGAATTGTTTAGACAGAATGCAAGAATGGATTGAGAATTTAGATAAAGCATTGGTAGATGTCAAATCTAGGCTATTAGTCCTTGAAACTGATAAAGAAAAAGGCTATGTTAAAAGTGACAAATCAAACACAGAAATTAATGTAATCTGTAATAATCTGCAAGAAAAGTTAATGAAATTAGAAGATAAAGGAAGGAATAATATTGTAATCTCAGGCATAGATGATGATAAATCAGACGATTGTTCAGTTGAAGTTCAAAAACTTTTCAATGATAAATTAAAGGTAACAGATGTCAAT